GAAGAAAGCAGACACACAGACCCTGGGGGTCAGGGAGGGACAGGAGGCAGGCAGAGGGCCATGCAGTGGGGGCCAGCAGGGAAGCTGAGAGCCCACGGCCACTTTGGCCTGAGCTTGCGGCCTTCCCGGGGCATGTCCCGGCCCAATAGAAGCGAGACACACCAGGGTTAACAAGATGTGGACGGACCGAGACAGGGCGTCCCACCCTCGCCTCAGGTTTCCATCACTGCTCGTCAGAGGACAGACATGGACGGGCAGCCCTGCGAGATAAGAGGCGATCACTGGGGATCAGAATTTGGGTCAGGCTGTTAGAGACAGGGATCAATTCCCCTCGGAAACAAGAATGGCATTGACGGCGGTGAGTGGCACCACTCGTCACGCAATTCCTGTGACATCACCGACAGGCGTGGCCCTGGCCGCGCTTCCTGGGAGATGCCCAACTGCGGCGGGATCCGGCTCCAGGTGGGCTTGGGGGGCGAGAGCCAACGCACAGAAAACGCCCCCCACACCCCGAGGACGAATGCGCCCGCCATTCCACACGGGCTGCCTCGGAGACCGTCCCAGTACCACCTTTGAAACAAGTCCCCAAGGAAGTTCAGAAGTCTCTTTCAAATTGGCACAATGAGGACGGGTGGGGACACGGGAAGACACTCTTTGGAAGTTGTTTCTATTGTTGAGTACCAAACTGACAGCTGACATCGGGCGCCTGACCTGCAGCACCCGCTCAAGCTTCACAGTCCTGGGTGCCCCACTTTAAACCTAGTTCGTGCCTCCCAGACCAACCCAGGCCACGCAGGCAGGATGTGGCAAAGCCAAACCAGCTGGTTCCAAACCCATGCTCCTAACCACTACAGACCTCCACCTGCCACTCAGAAGCAGCATTTGCAGAGGCCAGAGAAATGCTGCATTTGCATGTGCACCTAAGATGACGTCTCAAGTGAATCCTCAAATGCAGGGATGACAGAGATTGCTGACACACACACACACAAATATCCCACAAGTAAAAAGGACTCACCCAGGGACTATCTAGGTCAGGGCAAACATTCTGGGTGAAGGACCAGACAGTAAATACTTTAGGCTTTGCAGTCTCCATGGCAATAACTCAACTCTGCTGTTTGCTGCAAAACAGCCACAGACAATACATGAACAAATGGTGCAGCTGTGTTCTGAACACATTTACAAAAAACAGGTACCAAGGACACTTTGACCCACAGGCCAGAGTTTGCTGACTGTGCCTTAGATTATGGGAGTGTCCTGGGAAATAGTTGAGTCAATGAGGAACAACATAATCAGATGAGCATTTAGAATAACCTCTGCTGACTGTTGGATGGACTCAGAATGGTTTAGATGTTTTGTGAAATAACACTGGCATTATCATGTTTCTCTGTTATTGCTTTTGTTATAAGCAAATGGCAGTGGCTGTGTTCCAATAAAACTTTGTTTGCACACCCAGGCAGAGGTCTGAATCTGGCCCACAGGCCATAGTTTGCTGAACCCTGCTGCTTTAGGACCTCAGGCCAGAAATTCTAATAAATCAGTAATCATCTAAAAATCAGCTACTACAGTTCATCAAATGCCTGCGGTAGACACTGAAGACCCATTTATAGCATACTGAACGCCTCTGATTATGGCAATGTGGGGATGAGAGAAGTGATTTCTTTTCTCCGTATTAACTGAATACATTCAAACCAGACACAAGTCCCAGCCACACAGGATCAACACTTCACTCTTTCAGAGCAGACGTGTAGGCAGTGCACTGCACACGGGCTGCTCTGTGGCAGGAAAAAGAGACTGGAAGCCAATGGCCATGCATCCTCATCACTGCCCTGCCAGCCAAGCTAAGCCACTGAACATCCTGCAGCCTCTGCATCATCATTTGACATCAACTGCAGAGCTGACAGCCTGCCAGTGTGATTGACACTGACAGATTCCAGGGGAAGGACATGGCACTGGAATGGCTCTCCAACTTTCCAGGGCTGGCCCTGGACTATACCAACTCCTGGTATAATCCTCTTGCTCCATCCAAGTTGTTGGTGTCCAGAACCGGGAACCAGGGGGAAGGCGAGGCTATCAAATTTGAAATAACAAAAACCAGTAAATCTGCTTGAGAAAAATCCCTAAAGAAGATGGTGCCAGACAGTGCTTGCTGTTTCTGCTCCTAGTGCAGTGGTCCCTCTAAGGTGGCAGGGAGGGGGGGAAATGACCGCCCCCCCCCCACATCTGGAGACAGCTTTAATTATTACAGCTAGGGAAGTGCTACCAGCATCTAGTGGGTAGAGACCCCAGAGATGCTGCTAAAATCCTACTACGCACGAAAAGCCCTCATCACAGCAAGGACTGCATTTGGCCCAGCCCAAAATGTCAATGGTACCAGGTAAGAAACCCTGTCTTAGTAGGATTTGACCACATGAAGATCCTAAATACTTCAAAGCAAATATCCACAGTCCAGTTATGTTCCAGAAACTCAGCTCCAAAGACCATTTTGATTGACATGTTAAGTTGATTAGATAAAAGAGAAAACCAGCAGTGTGAGTCAGACGGGCTGGTGTGACCTGCGTGATTATTTCTTCGTTGTTATTGAAAAAAAAAAACATTTTGCTAAGGTTCATCTATAAAAGGAGCAAGTCGGAATAAATAATGCCTATAATTTCTTTGAGATGCAAAGCCCTATGATTACCAGCATACAAGGTGGTTGAAATTATCATATACTATTTTGGGGTTTGGGGTAACCTTTTAAAAAAAATGTTTCTGTGAGGCTGAAAAGCTAAGAATATATCACTGTCCTGTAGAATTAGAGGAAGGTTTCCCTATGAGATTTTTAGCAGTGTACAATAAAGACAGCCAAAACAACTAGAGAAACTCAAAGTCCACTAATCTGCCATCCATGTGGCCTCTTCTTGCTCATGGAAAAAGTTTGAGGGGCTGAGATAAACAAGAGGAGAAAACTGAGTGATTCACCTTTCCTTCCAAAGCTATAACATGAAATGCATAAAACCAGGAACTTTAAAACAGCACCTGTGTTACCTGTCACATCATACACACTGGTAACATCGACGGTGACGACTGGCTTTATTTTTTTTTCCTGATAGTTTACATATACTACTCTGGAAATGTTATAGAAGACGTTAGTTAACGAATAACTTTAAAAATGCACCTTCCAGGCCAGGCATGGTGGCTCACACCAGTAATCCTAGCACTTTGGGAGGCTGAGGTGGGAGGATCCCTTGAGGCCAAGAGCAGCCTGAGCAACAAAGCAAGACCCCATCTCTATAAAAAGAGAAAAATTAGCCGGGCCTGGTGGCACACACCTGTAGTCACAGCTACTTGAGAGGGTGAGGTAGGAGGATGGCTTGAGCGCAGGAGTTTGAGGTTGTAGTGAGCTACGATGACAGCACTGCATTCTAGCCTGGGCAACAAAGTGAGACCCTGTCTCCAAAAACAAAACAAAACAAAACAAAAACACCCTCTGAAAAAATTACCTAGTTGTTTTTTAGTGAGGGCTCTCAAAATGGAGTCTCATTTTTTTAAATCCATCGGATCAAAAAAGGTTGCATTTTATATAAACATATTCAAACCTAATACATAGATAGTTTGAAACTTTGAACAGATTAAAAGTAGATGTGTGTAGATTATGCAAATACTAAGCACTTAAAAAGAATTTCCACATTGTTCCTTAGAAGTAACAATCTTCTTACAAATATAAACATATATACATAATACATTTATTTTATATGTAGAATTTTAAAAACTAAGTTTTTGAGATCCCTTCAAAAAGAAAGGACACACATGTAACAGAATATGATTTCTTGCATTTGAATTCAACCCATGCTAAACTGAACCTGTCGCTGTACATTTTCAGGAATCATCATTTGAATTCTATACACGTCAGGGCACATTCCTTGATTGGAACGCCAACCTTTCTCTACCTTACCAACCATTTTCAACCCCATTCTTGTATGTCATTTATATTATTCATCCCAAATACTGAGACCTCTGAAGCCTCAATTCAGTGACTAGATTTGCCACTGAGCAATAGTAAGTCATCTTCTACAGACCAAGTCTGCTATGAATACTCAGTGGCCACAGGAAAGCTGAGAAGCAGATTCTCCAAAACATGGTCTGACACCATTTGCATATTTCGTTTGCAATTTTGTAAGTATCTGTGTATATACATTGTGTGTGTATATAAAACATCAAAGACAGACACTGAAATGTTAATTATGATTACTGCCTGTAGTAGTAGACTTAGGTGTGATTTCATTTTGCTTGTCTACATCTACATCTTCCAATTTTTTCTATATTAAGCATAACTTTTGCTAAAAGAAAAATAAGTTATACTCCATATGTGTATCTTTTTACTCTATATAACTTCAGAAAGAATTTAAGGCACCTAAGGAAAAAAAGCAACAAGTACAAAGATTTTTTTTTCCAAAGTGAGGGCAATTAAAAATAACAGCAGAAAACAAGAGCAGAACCCACCTGAAGACGCCAAAGGTTACAGCTCTTAGCCTGCACATAAGCGCCCACGTCCTGTCTATTGGCAGAAGGGAGGCACATGTTTGGCTCTAAATTTATTGGCTTCCACAGAACATTCCTCCCCACTCTCTAAGGAGTCTTCACCTCACCCCCCCCCAGTCTTTATTAAGTTTTGTTTGGGGAAGGATAATAAGAATGTTTGATATGCCGTGAACACACCCCCAGATGAGACCACACAGTCCCAAAAACATGGTGAGGGAGTAGGAGCTGGAGCAAATACAGCCAGGAGAGCACCAACCGCACTGCCCACTGCTCCTAGGAGAAAGCGTGCATGTGAACAAGGGCTCAGAACCCTCCAAAAGGTATTGCTTTAACTTTCTCGAAGTGCCCCTGTGTGTGTCATTCACCGCCCATGCAGCCAGTGGCGAGGGGCATTCGATGCATGACAAAGCCAAGTCCTGGGAGCCTCAGGGTCCTTTCAAGGCCAGGGCAGGCTTCAACTCAGAGGCCCCGGTGGCGCTTACCGTAAGCCGTCATGACACCGGCGTAGGGTCCGTCCACCACGTTCCTGTTTTCTTCCGCCAGAGCCTTGATGTACCTTTTGCTGAGGTCCAGGATCTGCTCACGCAGCATGGAGCTGCTTTCAGGCTGAGTTCGCTGCTGGATGGTAAAATGCAGGAGCATCATGCCCCAAATGAAGCCGAAAGTCACCAGGAAAAAGCCCAGCTTCTGAGAGGACAACTTCCACGGAGTAAACAGAGCCATCGCTCTCCGGCAACTTCACCTGCCCTGGGCTCCTAACGCGTGGAAGGCAGACACGGCCTCATGGTGCGCGACTCCGCGGGCCTCACTCCGGCTCCTGGGTCAGCCAGTCTCCTTTCCTCGCTTCCATCCTGCTGTGGAGGAGGAGGAGGAAAGTTAGCAAAGGGGGTCACGGCAAACCACAGCGCAATAAACCAGAAGCCACGTTTTCCCTCGCAGAGCTCTAAATAAAATGTCAACTCTTTTTTAATTTGCTGGTTTGATGTCTTAGGATTCCGGGATCTGCAAGCCCGGGGGTGGAATCTGGCTCGGTGACAAGCAGCTGAGCAAATACGGAGAAGGAAGAGTGTACCTGTGTATACAGGTGGAGTGGGGCTGTCCAGTCCCGACAGAGGCCAAAACAGGAAGCTTGTTTTGCAAGGTGGGGAGGAGGCAGAAAGATATTTCGCTGAATGTCAGCAAAAACCCAAGCGGAGGGTGGAGTCCTATCACCATCGGGCACTTTTGTATGTCTGTAACTTGAGCTTACAAAGTCATCATGTGCTCCTGGCAAGGATTAGGGCATGCAGCTGGCAAGGTGAGCAAGAAAGTGGATGCCCCCTCAGGGTAATTAGACAAGGAAGGGGGAGGGCGCCCCCATCTTATTTAAGCATGGCCAGCTTTCATTATCAGTGCTAGGGACAAGATGACTCTCTTGGGGCTGCCGGGTAGCCTTTCCCCGTGCACCAGCACAGAGAGGATATGCCAGAGCACAGCCAGTGGTCTTGCTGTTCCAGCCATGGAATAGAAAGCTCCATCTCACTGCTCAACCGTGCGATGCAGCCCAGGAACCATGGGGCACCCAGCAGGCAGCTCTTCTGTGGTTCTCACTTTCACTCCTGCCACCAGGCGAAATGAGAGTGCAAAAGGCAGGGTGGTTTCAATTCTAATGCGGCCAGATCCTATCTGACACCAGCACAGACAGGGCCACCCTTCCCAATCAGGGCTTCCCAACAACTGGGGCCTGAGCAAGGCTCGCAAATGGTGACCAGCATGCCCAGATTTCAACCCCTCCAGCCAGGGTGCTGGGCCCAGCAAACAGCCAGGCTTACACACAGCACGGTTTCCAAGTGCCACTCAAGGGAGAGGCTGAGCAATGACCCCTTAAACAAGGGACTAACGCAAAATGTATTTCAGGATGTACATATGTTTCAGTTCAAAGGATTCTTCTCTGCAAAAAGCCCAAGAGGGAATGGTAGTAGGATATTGGAGCACTTAGCTTTCAGAGTGTGCAGTAGCTCAGCTCTCTGGTTGGTCTGTCTCACTGTTCCCCCTTGCCTATCGATACAGCAATTAGTTGGTTGTACAACTGATAATAAAAGTAAATGGTAAATAAATTATAGCTATGTCCCAGGCACTGTGATAAACCCCTTTTTTATACCTTAGCTCCCTAAATCCTCATAAAAGCCCTGTATGGTAAAAAGAAGTATTAATATGATCGCCTTCATCTTATAAGAAACAAATAAGAGAAAATAAAGGCACAGGAAGATTAACTTGGCAAAGGCCAGCCATGTGGCAGAGGAGGGATCATCAGTAAACCACACCCCATGTCCCCTGGCCACCCCGGCAACCCCCCCCACACACACACCCGGGGCCTGTTTGTATATGGTCAAGAATGGTTTGCAGATGCTTAAAGGGTTATGAAGACCAACAAGGAAAAATATGTAGCAGACATACTATGCAGGCCCCAAAGCCTAAGATACTTATTATCTGGCCCTTAACAGAAAAGGTTTGTCGACCTCTGAATACCAGGCCAGTATGGTAAACTCAGCGACAGCAGCATCACCAGTGAGAAATGCTAATTCTCAGGCCCCCCATGCCTACAGCAGCAGCAGCTCTGGGGCATGAGGCCCACAGCCTGTGCTTTAACAGGCCCTCCAGACGACTGTGTGCATGGTTAAGGTTTAGAGCCTCTGATCCCGACAGACAGACGTTCCGTCACCACACCATGCCACCTTCATGCCAATACCGTGAGGCTCAAACTCCATCTCACTCTGCTTTATAAATGCCTCTGCCCGGTCACACCCTATGCACCTGCTGGTCTGCTCATCACCACGAACCCTGCACATCCTCCTTCCAGCATCTCCTCCCACCTGGCCCTCTCTCTTTTCTGTATCAGGCCGACAATCCAAACCCAGACTGCTTCCCCAGCCCCAGTGCCACCTGCTTCAGACCACTGTCCCCATGGCTCCAGCCTGCAACGCTCCCTGCCCAGTCTGAAGTCTGATAATGGAATACTACTCAGCCATGAAAAAGAAACCCTGCCATTCTCAGTGACATGGATGAACCTGGAGGACATCATGGTAAATGAAATGAGCCAGGCATAGAAAGACACATACTGCATGATCCCACTCATGCAGTGTGGGAGTTAAAAAGTTAATCTCATAGAAGTGGGGAGTAGATTAGTGGTTATCAGGGGACAGGGAGAGCTTGGTCAATGGGTACAAAGCTGCAGTCAGATAAAAGAAATAAGTGCTAGTGTTCTGTTGCATCATAGCATGTTTAGAGTTAGTATATTTCAAAATAGCTAGAAGAAAGGATTTTAAATGTTCTCACCACAAAGAAATGAGAATTAAGGTGATAGATATGCTAATTACCCTAAATAGATCATTACACGACATATACATGTATCAAAACATCATACTGTATCACATAAATATGTATGATTATTGTCAATCATAAATTTAAGAAAATTTTTTAAAGGGGGGGAACAATAAATAAAGGAGTATCATGGGTTTAAAAGAACAAAAACACTCATCTGTCTACCCTAGATTGTTCACTACTTTCTACGTGGGACCCATTACATCCTTTAAGGGACACCCCCTGCCACCAACACACGCACACACACGCCTTCTCAGAGAGAAACACTCACCCCACAGGGGCACAGTGGAGTATCTGCTGACTGAGAGAACCAGTCATCCAGGCACCGTGGCATGTCACTCGGCCCCTCTAAACGCAGGCCAGCTGAACAGCACCTTCGGCAAGCACATACTGACTACCTGCTGTCATCAGGTTCAGGAATTGAACAGCGAGTAAGATGGAGTTCCCACCCCCATGGGGCCATCCCACTAACTAGGTGCTGCCCCCAATTCCTCAGGAAGTGGCTGCACTTCCTTTCTGACAACCCAGACTCATCAGTTCATCCACCCCAGGGCTGAAGGGGCTTTCCCAGGGCAAGAAAATGGGGTGCTTGCTGTACCAAGAAAGGGAGTCTTCTGCTGACCTGCCTTGACCGTTTCAGAAGAAAACATTCATCGCTGGGGCAGGAATTACCTGTCCACTTTCAGACAGGAAGCTCCACTCCACTTCCTCAACCAGCCCCACAGAAGAGGCTGCTCAGAGATGCAGAGTTTAAACAAAAGAAAGGCGGCCTAAGGACCAGGAACTGAACAAGGGCCTCATCAGAAAGTGGAAGGCTTTCCCACCTTTGCCTGGGGCAGGGTTGGAACCACCCAGATGGTGCATTCCAGGGGCAAGAAGAGGGCCTAGAACCCCAGACTGGGTAAAATTATTCCAACTCAGAGACATGCAAATTCGGAGTAAAATTTCTAGACATAAGGAGTTCAAGTACACTTCTGACTACTGAGGGCCTAGATTTTAAATGACTACAGAACTGTCAGGAATGTTCTCTTCTCTAGTGGAATCTAGAGTCTGAAATAACAGAATCCGTGTCAGCAGACACAAAGCACACGTAGAGAATGACATTACAATTCATCTCTATGGTGCCTACTAAGACGACAGACTTTAAGACTTTTCAAAGGCATTATTCAGGAGCCACCCCCAACCCCCACAGTAATCGAAGGGTAATGAGGACGACACAGGACGCCCAACCTCACAGAGAGTCTCAGTGCCATAAAAGGACAATGATGATCATCAGTAATGGACAGGCATTTAATGGAGAAGCCCCAGACCAACAGCGATCAAAAAGATATTGCTCAAGTGAACAATCTGCGTGCCTCCAGACGCCCTAACAGCTGAGCCCTCTAGCTAAGTGCACAAAAGGGACTATGTAAAGTGGATCTCATCAGACCTTGTTGCCAACCAGAGTAATGACTGCCCAGGGCCATGACTTCATCAGTTCACCTCCAGAAAGAAGTTTGCACCAAGTCTGGTTGCTGTATTAACCACCCCGATATACATCCTCTCTGTCCATCTACTTCCTAAAAGAGTAGCATTCACCTTCTTCCTTCCCACTCACTCACTCGACACAATAAAATCTGGCTTCCACCTTTCCAAAAGTGGTCAAAGATCTTTGGCAAGGAAACGCATCAGTTCTCATATAAAAAAAAAACAAACAAACAAAAAAACATGAAAGCATGCTCAACATCATTAGTCATTAGCAAAAATGCAAATCAACACCACAACGAGATACCAACTTCATACCCATTAGGATGGCTATAATTTTAAAATACAAATGGGAACAAATGGTTGGTGAGGATGCAGAGAAGTTGGAACCTTCACATTTACTGTTGGTGGGAAATGTAAAATGGTACAGCCAGCGTGGAAAACAGGCTGGCAGTTCCCCGAATAGGTAAACACGGAGTTACCATATGGCACAGGCAATTATGCTCCCAGGAATTCTCCCAAGAGAAGCATGTGTCCAAACAAAAGCTTGTACACAAAATGTTCACAGCAGCATTATTCATAATAGACAAAAAGCGAAACCACCCCAACATCTATCAACTGAGAAATGGATAAACAAAACTGGTATACGTATGCAGTGAAATACTGCTTGATCATAAAAAGGAATGAAGAACTGTTATGCTAAAGCATAGATGACCCTTGAAAACATTAGGCTAAGTGAAAAGGACAGGCACAAAAGACCACATACTGTGCAATTCCATTTATATGCAATGTCTGGAACAGAGAAATCTATAAAGGCAAAAAATACATTAGTAGTCACTTAGGGCTGGGGAGGCAGAGAGTGGGGAATTGGGAGGGGGTAGCTAAGGCACGCAGGGTTTCTTTAAGAGGTAACAAAAATGTTTTAAAAATTGTGGTGATGGGTGCATAATTCTGTGGATATACTAAAAGCCATGGAGTTGCACACTTTGAATGGGAGAATGGTAGGATATGTGAATCATATTCTCAATAA